AGCCTCTCCATCGTCCCCCAGAGTGCCTCCCAGTGTCCCCAGTGCTTCCCTGGCCCCCCTGCCAGTGTCCCCCCATGCTGGGGTGGCCGGGCCGTACCCCAGTGCAGGCTGAGGGGGTGCTCCAGGCTGACGTGCTCCACCTGGCAGGTGTAGGTGACCCCGCGCCGGGAGGGGGATTTCCAGCATCACCAGCACCTGGTAGGTCCAGTCCCCGTTGGGGACCACGTCGGTGGCCACCACGTGCTCCGGCAGCTCCCACCCATCCTGGAACCACCTCACCTGCACCGGGCAGGGTAGAAATCCATCACGGAGCAGAGCAGGGGCTGGGGCCGGGCTGAGAGCTCGACGGCACCAGCGAGATGGACACGCTGGGGGGCACTGGGAGAGAGGGCGGAGGGCTTGTAGGACATTGATAGGGGTTTGGGTGGCACTGGGAGGGACTGGGATGGCACTGGGAAGGACTGGGAATAGACTGGGGCAGAAGGGGATGGGCTGGGAGGGGCACTGGGGAGAGAGTTGGGAGACGGGGGAGTGAACTGAGAAATACCGGGAGTGGAGTGAGAGGGTCTTTGAAGGACTGTGAAGGACTAGGAATGACTGGGAGGGACTGGGAATAATTGAGATGGACTGGGAAGGGTCCGAGCGGGACTGGGAGGCTGTCCTGGAGAGGGAACTCTGCGCTGCCGGTCTGCCAAGCAACTGATGACTCATCAGAGAAACGCGCTCTGATTGGCTGAGGGAGAACGGTTTTTCCAGCGGGGTGGAGACGCGGGGGGGGGCACTGGAATGGACTGGGATGGACTGGGGGCACTGGAAAAAACTGGGATGGATCGCAATGCAATGAGGAGCAATGGGAGAGGCTGGAATGGACTGGGATGGACTGGGGGGCACTGGAAAAAACTGGGATGGATCGTAATGCAATGAGAGGCAATGGGAGAGGCTGGAATGGACTGGGATGGACTAGGGGGCACTGGGATGGGGCCCAAAGCCGCGGGGATGTATACAGGGAGTGCTGAGGGGTCTGGGGTGATTCCCAGGGAGGGTTTCAGGGGCTCCAGGGTCGTTCCCGGGGCAGGGGAATTCCCGAAGGGACCCGCTCTGCCCCGCGCTCACCTCTGCGGTTCACAATGAACGGGGTGGACATCTCGTAGTTGTTCCGGCAGAGCCTGTCCACCTCTGACCGTGTGAGCTCCATCCATTCCTGTTGGCTGTTCCAGTGCCTGGCCTGGATCTCTCCATACGGGATGTCCCCCACATAGACCCCCACATCGCTGTCGAAGTGCACAAACTGCTGCCGGTTACAGATGAACCTCTCCACGAACCTCACCGGCTCGGTGTCATTGATGAAGTAACACTCGCAGGTAGAGAACAACTGGAATACCCCTGTGTGTGCAGGACACGGGTCAGGGGCTGCCCCGTCCCTCCCATCATCCTCCAGCCCCCCACAGCAGGTCGGGAGCTCAGGGAGCCACCCTGGACCTCCCTTTCCCACCCCCCTCTGCCCCACGGCCGCCGCAGCACCGGCTCTTGGCTGGGGGGAACCCCCCCAATCAGCCCCCTGGGGAGGGACAGGGGGGTTGGGGACCCCCAGTGCGGATCTGACGCCTCCCAGAGCCCCAGGGAACCGCTGCAGGGCTCCAGTGATGGGGTACACCGAGGGACCCCCATGGCACCCCTCTTCCTGCACTCCCACCTCCCTTTTCTCCCTCTCCCACCCCTTTCCCACCGTCCCTCCAATCCCCAGACCCCCCGGCGCTCAGTTTGGGGCTCCCATCCCCCTCTCACTAATTCCGGGGGTTCCAAACCCCCACACACTCACTTTTGGGGCTCCCCTTTTCTCTCCCCTTTTCTCCCTTCCCGCCCCCCCCGCTCACCCGAGAGCTCCTCGCCCGCAACTGGGGGGGCTCCCAGCACCACCAGTACCACCAGTACGGCCCCAGCTCCCCGCACACGCTCCATCCCCAGCGCCAGGCACGTGCTGGTGCCCCAAAACCAGCCGGGCGGGGCCGTTCTGGGGCTGTTTTGGCCGCGCTCTGATTGGCTGAGGGCAAAGTTGGGGGCCCGTTTTTCGTCTCGTCCTCCCGGCAACTGATGAGTCATCAGCGCGACGCGCTTTGATTGGCCAGATCTGCGTGGGAGCTTTCTGATTGGCTGAGGTCGTTGGGGGCGCTGCAGCCCCGGGGGTGGGGGGTTCTGGGGGGTCCGTGGGGTGGACCCGGTTGGGAACAACCCCCGATCTCCCCCCGGGGCCCGAGGGCGGAGCGGGCCCGGTTGGGAACACCCCGCTCGTCTCCGCCGCTGCAGCCGCTGCCCCTGCTCCGGCTGCCGCCGCTCGGCCCCGGCCGGGCCCGCGGGGGTCGCCGCTCCTGGCGCGGGTGGAGGGGTCGGGCCGGGCCGCGCCCGCTGATCCAGTCCGATCAGGGGCTGCCACGGGGTTCTTTAGAGGATGGCTTCGAGGGCGAGATTAAGGCACAAAACTCCAGGTGTTAGGTCTCAAACAGACAATTTGCTTTATTGGTAACAACAAGTAAAAGGGGAAAAGCGGGGGGTGGGGAGGAGAGGGAGAGAGAAGGAAAAGGAAAGAATGCAAAAGGAAAATGCTAAAAGTTCCCAGCACCAGTGAGAGAAGCGGTGTAGTCAGCCTCAGGCAGGCAGGGAAGGGCCGCTGGAGGGAAGCAGGGAGTGACCAGACTGGATCTGAGACAACCAGGAGACGCAGGCAGGTGGGACACGAGCAGGACAGAGCGAGCAGTGGGGCCCGCAGCCAGCACGGGACCCTGGGCAACACCGCCTGCACTGGACCAGACCCTCGGGCAACGCTGGGCACTGCCTTAAACACCCCCCGGTGGGCGCTCAGCGGCCAGCTTGGCTCCGGGTAGAGCTTTGCAGGGTGTCGGGGGTTGAGCTGCTGGTACCCAGGCAGGCTGGCTCTGCCAAGGCGGGAAAATGGACCAGCTTTGTGTTGGAGACTCTCTGACACCCGCCCGTCCCTCGGGGCCGCTCCTCCGGTGACACAGGCCGGCAGATTTTTATTCTATTTATTTTACTATATTCTCTGTACTTTATTCGATCCCCACCCGTCCCTCGGGGCTGCACTTCCAGTGGATGGGGCAGCAGAGGCCCCTCGGGGCATTCATCGCTCCCTCACACAGCCCCCGGGGCCGCCCCGGTGCTCCCTCGGTGCAGCTCTTTTAGGTACCAGGCAGCGGAAACCTCTCAGCGCAGGTATTTTATTCAGTTTATTTTATTCTCTATATTTCATCCTAGTTACACCGGGCAGGTGTAAAGAAGACCCCCCGGTGAGGTTCTTCCCGGCTGTTTTTTGGAGTCACCCCCAGGGCCTCAGTGCCGAGCAAGGCTCTTGGTTTGGTTTCATTGGGTTTACGGATTTGTTGGATTCTGGTATTTATATGTATCTTGTATTTATTTTCTTGTTGTTATGTGTTTATTTCTACAGCTTATTTATTCCTTGTTTGTCTATATATTTTATTTATTTATCTGTTTCTTTAATAGTATTTATTTTTATCTATTAATTATTTGTTTCTTTATTTCTATAATTTATTTGGTTGTTTTATATAATTTTGTCAAGTCATTTAGTTGCTTGTTTAATTTATTTATTAGCGCTTATAATTAATCTATTTTTAAAATTTCAATTGTGTATAATGTTTCAATTGTTTTATAATTTTCATTTTTTATGTAATTTTATTTAATCATATAATTTTATTGATTAGCATATATAATTTCATTCATCTGTTTATATAAGTTCGTTTATTTGTTTATATCATTATATTATATTTGTTTATATAATTTAATGTTCTTGTATCTAATTATGTGTTCTATAATTTTAAATATTTATTTATGTAATTTTATTAATTTGGTAATATTTTATTTATTAACATCTATAATTCAATTAATTTTTATATAATTTGATTTTGTTTATTATTTTTATATGTCTACATAGTTTTATTTAATTGTTTAATTGAAACTGTTACCACATTTAATTTTATTTAATTGATTTTAGTTATTTGTTTATATAATTTTAATTATTAGGGTATATAATTTGATTTATTCAATTATATAATTTGATTTATCAGCATAAATAATCTAATGTCTTTGTTTAAATAACTTATTTATATAAGCTGTTTTATCTGTTTATATAATTTGATTGAATTGTATGTATATAATTTTGTTTCTTTGAATATATAATTTTATTTACTTCCTTAAATAATTTTATATATTTGTTTAATTTTTACCGTTAGTTTATCTTTCATTTCTTTATTTACTTGTAATTCTTTTTATATAACTTTAATTATTAGCATATATAACTTCATCTATTAATTTATATAATTTGATTTATTAGCATATATTATCTGATTTCTTTGTTGATATAATTTTAATTATTTGTTTATTTAATTAATTTCTGTAATTTGATTTATTTATTTCTATAATTAGTTTTATCCATTTATATAATTTTATTTAATTACATTTAGTAGTTTTAAGACTAGGCCTTCCTTGGTGACCAGGTTGTAACCAAGGAACCAAGGCCATGTTCCCAGTATTCCATACGATTTTTTACTTAAGCAAGAGTATAAATAAGAAGAGAGAGGAAACTCTCGTTCTCTTTCTTCCGGTGGACCGAAGGCGAAGGTAGCTTTGCTGTCGCTCTACCCGGGCGAGGGAGTGAGGTCTAGCGCATCTGGTTGGCCTTGAGAGGCAGAGAGTGCCGACGGTTGTGTGGTGCGGTTCGCTATCTCTGGAGGGAAGTATTTGCATTGTATCCCTTTTAATCCCTTTTTATTCCTTTTTCCTTTTCCCTTTCCCTTCCCTTTTCCCCTTTGGGGGGTTCCCTGTATATAATTTTCTTTGTATATATATATATATATATATATATATATAAATCTTCCACTTAAAATTCAGTTCGGTTTGGGTTCTTTTGATTTTCTTTTTCGTGATCTTTTCGGTCAATTACACGAAAGTGAGAGAGAGGGGGAAGGCTTTGTCCCTGAGGTGCGGGCACTTGGCTGGGAGCCAAGTCCAACCTGGGACATTTTTGGAGGTTCCACCGAGATAACCAGGAGGTTGTTTTGGTAACAATTTCTGGGCAGGTGGCCAAGTTCTGCCAAACATTGACTTTGTTTGGGAACAGTACCGGGATCGCAGCCAAGAGGGATTTGTTTATATAAATATACCTCTTGTATAAGAACATTGAGGACAACTATATAAATAATAGCCACTTTCTTAATTTTTAATGTACTTTTGGCAGCTTTTGCACCTGTTTTAGGTTACTACATGTGGGACAATCCAAATCCAACAGTGTTCAATTGGCGAGACATCTGGGAAAGGTATTCTTCCTATCTTGATGTTAAACGCTGGATCCTAGAAATTCCCAAACTGACTGTTGCCTCCAATGATTATCTAAATTGTGTAGCAACAATTTGGTTTATGATGAATGTGATGAACATGCTATTTAAAATTGGAAGGATTGTGTTACACTGGTTCCCTTGTTGTAGGAAAGGCCGTACCTCAAAGGGGTTAGCTGGAGCTTTGGAAAGGGGCTTGAAAAGGGCAGTTCCTGGTTGGAAAGGAGCATGGGAAGAGTTTGGTAAATGGATCGGGCGCTTGGCACCTCCCATTACTTGGGACTTGACGGCAGCACAGGCCTTTGATCCTAATGAGATAACCCATCGTTTAATGGAAGGTTGTCTTACATATAAGGATCCAAATACCCAAATCTCTGCTCTATGCTGGGGCCTGGCTAGTACTTATCGAGCCACTGTAGATCATGTTCAAAAGGCTAAGGTGGAGACAGGGACACAAACTATGCCAGTCAGAATGGAGTCCACCAAGACCAGAGTCCAGATGCCTCTTGAAGCCAGCACAGTTTAGACCAAACCTGCTGACACTGGAGTTCCAATTATGGACTTTATTAACATGGGAACTCCAGCCACTTCTATGACCAAGACTGGGGCCCACACCAAAGATCCTGAAATCACTATTGCCCCCATAACAAAAAAGAAGATGTGGATAAGGGATGATGCAGGGTCCACAAGCCTAGCCCCACGACTGAGGCGTGTAACTGAAGAAGAAGAAGAACTAGCTGTGAGAGAAGGAGCACGTCCCAAGGAATTAGGGGCGCGTCCAAAAGAGAGGGAGATGTGACCGAAGGAAGAAGGGGCAGCAGCTCAGATGCCTGATGGAACACAAAAGCCAAGGAGAGTGTTGACACCTGAATACACTCTTCTTGACTGTTCCACAGAAGAGATGGAGAACTATCTGAAATCCTCATCCCAGGGTCCAGAGGACTACTCGTTACCTCCACCCGCGAGAAGCCCATCCAGGCACCGTGCTCGGTCCCCATCTCCACAAGCCAGAAAACCATCCCTGCAGCAGACACAGCCCCCACCTCAACCTCCACAACACAGAAGCCCATCCCCGAGGCATGTTCCGTTTCCACCTCCACGTGAGAGAGGCAGAGTGGAAACAGTTCCACACAGATACGTCAAAAGAGAAGTGGAAATGGATAGGAGGGATGTCCATCCAGAAGCGGGAGTTGTGAGAACATCAGAAGTATTACGATCATTGACGCCAGCAGAGCTCCGGGATTTGAGAAAAGATTATAGTCGCCGGCCTGGTGAGCGGATTCTAACCTGGCTGGTAAGATGCTGGGATAATGGAGCTAGAAGCCACATGCTGGAAGGTCACGCAGCACAGCAGTTGGGATCCCTGGCTCGAGACCGTGAGATTGAACAAGGAATTGCACGAGAGCCATATAGTCATAGTCTCTGGCTTAGGATCCTTAATGCTGTGAGAGAGAGATATCCATTTAAAGAGTACTTAACAAGTTCTCCAGGAAAATGGACAACTGCAGAAGAAGGTATTCAATATCTACGGGAACTGGCCATGCTTGAACTCATCTTTAGTAATCCGGATTATTATGATATCTTAGACCCTGCGAGTCTCCCATGTACCAATCCAATGTGGAGAAAAGTAATTAAAGGTGCCCCTGCACAATACATCAACTGCCTAATTTCAGCATTCCATCCAAAGTTAGATGAACCAGATGTAGAAACAATGTGTCAATGGATACAGAGCATAGCGGAGAATTTCGAAGATCTGTCCAATGTTCGACGTCAACCCATCCGCTCTAAGGGAAAAATGGAAGGAGATTATGAATATTCCAATTATGAAGATGACTACGAAGACAGAGATGACAACGTTTCCCGAGACTACAGAGACACACCAGTAAAGTGATCTAGACCACGAGCTCGACCTCAATCTCGATCTTGGTCCAGATCTCGGTCAACAACTCCTCCCCCTACACACAGAAGGAAGGGCCCTAAACGCGAATCACGTAATCAGCTGTGGTCCTACCTGTGCAAACAGGGAGAGAACATGAAGAAATAGGATGGACAACCCACTTCCAAACTTCAGGCTAGAGTGAAAGAACTGAAGCAGAAGGAAGCCAATAAAAAACTTGTCTTTGTAGTTGATGCGGATTTTGTGGAAAAGCAATTGCGATCTCCAAAACACAAGAAGGTTGAAGTCCACTTTTCTGACAAGAAGACCACTGGTGGAGCAAAGAGGATATCTGACACTGAATGCTCTGACAAGGACCAATAGAGGGGCCCTGCCTTCTGCCAGGAGAAGGAAAGGGACCAGAAGGATAATCGGGTTTACTGGGCTGTGTGGGTTCGATGGCCTGGCACATCGGATCCACAGAGATACCGGGCTTTGATAGATATCGGTGCCCAGTGTACATTAATGCCGTCTGAACACAAGACTATGGAGACTGTGTCTATTTCTGGAGTGACAGGAGGGTCGCAAGAGTTGTCAGTGGTAGAGACCGAAGTAAGCTTGACTGGAGACCAATGGGAAAAGCATCCCATTGTGACAGGGCCAGAAACCCCCTGTATCATTGGTATTGATTACCTGAGAAGAGGATACTTCAAAGACCCGAAGGGGTACCGATGGGCTTTCGGTGTAGCCATGGTGACTGAGGAGAAATCCAAGCAATTGTCTGCCCTGCCTGGTCTCTCAGAAGATCCTTCTGTTGTAGGATTCCTGCAAGTCGATGATCAACAAGTGCCAATAGCCACTTCAACAGTGCATAGGCGACAATACCGAACCAATCGAGATATTGTGATCCCTATTCATAAGATGATTAGGAAGTTGGAGAGTCAAGGGATAGTCAGTAAGACTCACTCACCCTTCAACAGCCCCATTTGGCCTGTACGTAAATCCGATGGCAAATGGAGATTGACAGTGGACTATCGTGGTTTGAATGAAGTCACACCGCCATTGAGTGCTGCTGTGCCAGACATGTTGAAACTCCAATATGAGCTGGAGTCCAAGACAGCAAAGTAGTATGCTACCATTAACATAGCAAATGCCTTTTTCTCCATTCCCTTGGCAGAAGAGTGCAGGCCACAGTTTGCTTTCACGTGGAGGGGCGTGCAATACACCTGGAATCGACTGCCCCAGGGGTGGAAACACAGTCCCACCATCTGTCATGGGTTGATTCAAGCTGTACTGGAGAAGGGTGAGGCCCCAGAACACATACAATACATTGACGACATCATTGTATGGGGGAACACAGCAAAGGAAGTTTTCGACAAAGGAGAGAAGATTATCCAGATTCTCCTCAAAGCCGGTTTTACCATTAAGAAGAACAAGGTCAAGGGGCCTGCCAGAGAGATCCAGTTCTTAGGGGTGAAATGGCAAGATGGAAGGCGCCAGATTCCAACCGATGTCATCAATAAAATTGTAACAATGGCTCCACCGACAAATAAAAAGGAAACCCAAACTTTTCTGGGAGCCATAGGCTTCTGGAGGATGCACATCCCAGAGTACAGTCAAATTGTGAACCCTCTTTATTTTGTGACCCGTAAAAAGAATGATTCCTGCTGAACAACAGCAGGCTTTCAGGCAGATCAAACAAAAGATTACACATGCCGTGGCTCTTGGACCAGTTAGGATGGGGCCAGATGTAAAGAATGTACTTTACACTGCATGTGGAGATAACGGTCCCTCCTGGAGCCTCTGGCAAAAGGTGCCTGGTGAAACACGAGGGCGACCACTTGGCTTCTGGAGTCGAAATTACAGAGAATCTGAAGCCAACTACACCCCTATGAAGAAGGAAATACTAGCGGCATATGAAGGCATACAAGCAGCTTCTGAAGTGATTGGCACTGAAGCACAGCTCTTCCTGGCACCCCGACTACCGGTGCTGAGTTGGATGTTCAAAGGGAAAGTGCCTCCTACGCATCATGCTAACAATGCCACATGGAGCAAGTGGATTGCTTTGATTACGCAACGTGTCCAAATTGGAAACTCGAATCACCCCGAAATTTTGGAAATCATAACTAATTGGCCCGAAGGTGGAAACTTCAGTCTGGCAGATGAAGAAGAAGAAGAACCAGTGAGTCGAGCTGAAGAAGCTCCGCCATATAATCAACTGCTGGATGAAGAGACGCGTTATGCTCTTTTCACTGACGGTTCTTACCGTATTATAGGAGGGAACCGAAAGTGGAAAGCAGCTGTTTGGAGTCCCACCCGACAAGTCGTGGAGGCCACTGAAGGTAAAGGCGAATCGAGTCAGTTTGCAGAACTCAGAGCCATCCAATTGGCCCTAGACATCGCAGAGAGAGAAGGATGGCCAAGGCTCTACCTCTATACCGACTCATGGATGATAGCCAATGCCCTATGGGGATGCCTAGAGCGATAGAAAAACATGAGTTGGAAGCGTAGAGGAAGACCTATATGGGCTGCTGATTTGTGGCAGGACATTGCTTCTAGAGTAAAGAAACTAAATGTGAAAGTCTGCCATGTAGATACCCATGTACCTAAGAGTCGAACCAACGAAGAACATCATAACAACAGACAAGTGGACAGAGCTGCACAAATTGAAGTGTCACAAATAAACCTGGACTGACAACATAAAGGAGAGTTGTTCCTAACCAGATGGGCCCATGATGCTTCAGGTCATCAGGGCCGAGATGCCACCTACCGATGGGCACAAGACGGAGGGGTGGATTTAACCATAGACACTATTTCCCAGGTTATCCATGACTGTGAAACCTGTGCTGCTATCAAGCAGGCAAGAAGATTGAAGCCCCTATGGTATGGTGAACGCTGGGACAAGTATAGATACGGAGAAGCATGGCAGGTCAATTATATCACATTGCCACAGACCCGCCAGGGTAAGCATTATGTGCTTACCATGATGGAAGCAACCACTGGATGGTTGGAGACATATTCAGTACCCCATGCAACAGCCCGGAATACCATTCTGGGTCTTGAAAAGCAGGTCTTATGGAGACATGGCACTCCAGAGCGAATTGAGTCAGATAATGGGACTCATTTCAAGAATAATCTAGTAGCCACGTGGGCACGGGAGCATGGTATTGAATGGGTCTATCACATTCCATATCATACACCTGCTGCTGGAAAAATTGAAAAGTATAATGGACTGTTAAAAACAACTTTAAAAACACTATGTAAAGGAAAATTTAAGAACTGAAATAAGCACCTAGCCAAGGCCACCTGGTTGGTAAATACTAGAGGCTCTGTCAATCGAGCTGGCCCTGCCCAAGCAGAATCCCTCCACACTGTAAATGGAGACAAAGTTCCAGTGATTCACCTGAGAGGTATGTTGGGTAAAACTGTTTGAGTTACCCCTACCTCGGGCGAGGACAAACCCATTCGTGGAGTTGTTTTTACTCAAGGGCCAGGGTACACCTGGTGGGTGATGAGGAAGGATGGAAAGATACAGTGTGTGCCTCAAGAAAATTTATCCTTGGGGAAAAACTAACTTTGTACTTTAAATTGTTTTACAGAAGACCAGTCACCAAATAAGAGAGACCTGACCAAAGCTGATACCGGTATCTGACGATGAGACAGTGAACCAGTCCTAAACCTGAACTGTGATTGTAACCAAAGTGCCAAGGATCTGAACTGAACTACTGTTGATGATGGATGCCGATCTTCCACCACAAGACAACTACTCCAAAGGACTATATATATATATAAATATGTGTATATATGCGCAGGATATAAGCAAATACATGACATATAAGTGTTACGTAAAAATAGTATGGAATAAAGGGTGGAGAATGTAGTAGTTTTAAGACTAGGCCTTCCTTGGTGACCAGGTTGTAACCAAGGAACCAAGGCCATGTTCCCAGTATTCCATACGATTTTTACGTAAGCAAGAGTATAAATAAGAAGAGAGAGGAAACTCTCTCTCTCTTTCTTCCGGTGGACCGAAGGCGAAGGTAGCTTTGCTGTCGCTCTGCCCGGGCGAGGGAGTGAGGCCTAGCGCATCTGGTTGGCCTTGAGAGGCAGAGAGTGCCGGCGGTTGTGTGGTGTGGTTCGCTATCTCTGGAGGGAAGTATTTGCATTATATCCCTTTTAATTCCTTTTCCCTTTTCCCTTTCCCTTCCCTTTTCCCCTTTGGGGGGTTCCCTGTATATAATTTTCTTTGTATATATATATATATATATATATAAATCTTCCACTTAAAATTCAGTTCGGTTTGGGTTCTTTTGATTTTCTTTTTCGTGATCTTTTCGGTCAATTACACGAGAGTGAGAGGGAGGGGGAAGGCTTTGTCCCTGAGGTCCAGGCACTTGGCTGGGAGCCAAGTCCAACCTGGGACATTTTTGGAGGTTCCACCGAGATAACCAGGAGGTTGTTTTGGTAACAATTTCTGGGCAGGTGGCCAAGTTCTGCCAAACATTGACTTTGTTTGGGAACAGTACCGGGATCGCAGCCAAGAGGGATTTGTTTATATAAATATACCTCTTGTTTAAGAACATTGAGGACAACTATATAAATAATGGCCACTTTCTTAATTTTTAATGTACTTTTGGCAGCTTTTGCACCTGTTTTAGGCTACTACATGTGGGACAATCCAAATCCAACAGTGTTCAATTGGCGAGACATCTGGGAAAGGTATTCTTCCTATCTTGATGTTAAACGCTGGATCCTAGAAATTCCCAAACTGACTGTTGCCTCCAATGATTATCTAAATTGTGTGGCAACAATTTGGTTTATGATGAATGTGATGAACATGCTATTTAAAATTGGAAGGATTGTGTTACGCTGGTTCCCTTGTTGTAGGAAAGGCCGTACCTCAAAGGGGTTAGCTGGAGCTTTGGAAAGGGGCTTGGAAAGGGCAGTTCCTGGTTGGCAAGGAGCATGGGAAGAGTTTGGTAAATGGATCGGGCGCTTGGCACCTCCCATTACTTGGGACTTCACGGCAGCACAGGCCTTTGATCCTAATGAGATAACCCATCGTTTAATGGAAGGTTGTCTTACATATAAGGATCCAAATACCCAAATCTCTGCTCTATGCTGGGGCCTGGCTAGTGCTTATCGAGCCGCTGTAGATCATGTTCAGAAGGCTAAGGCGGAGACAGGGACACAAACTATGCCAGTCAGAATGGAGTCCACCAAGACCAGAGTCCAGATGCCACTTGAAGCCAGCACAGCTTGGACCAAACCTGCTGACACTGGAGTTCCAATTATGGACTTTATTAACATGGGAACTCCAGCCACTTCTATGACCAAGACTGGGGCCCACACCAAAGATCCTGAAATCACTATTGCCCCCATAACAAAAAAGAAGATGTGGATAAGGGATGATGCAGGGTCCACAAGCCTAGCCCCACGACTGAGGCGTGTAACTGAAGAAGAAGAAGAACTAGCTGTGAGAGAAGGAGCACGTCCCAAGGAATTAGGGGCACGTCCAAAAGAGAGGGTGACGCGTCCGAAGGAAGAAGGGGCAGCAGCTCAGATGCCTGATGGAACACAAAAGCCAAGGAGAGTGTTGACACCTGAATACACTCTTCTTGACTGTTCCACAGAAGAGATGGAGGACTATCTGAAATCCTCATCCCAGGGTCCAGAGGACTACTCGTTACCTCCACCCGCGAGAAGCCCATCCAGGCACCGTGCTCGGTCCCCATCTCCACAAGCCAGAAAACCATCCCTGCAGCAGACACAGCCCCCGCCTCAACCTCCACAACACAGAAGCCCATCCCCGAGGCATGTTCCGTTTCCACCTCCACGTGAGAGAGGCAGAGTGGAAACAGTTCCACACAGATACATCAAAAGAGAAGTGGAAATGGATAGGAGGGATGTCCATCCAGAAGCGGGAGTCGTGAGAACATCGGAAGTATTACGATCATTGACCCCAGCAGAGCTCCGGGATTTGAGAAAAGATTATAGTCGCCGGCCTGGTGAGCGGATTCTAACCTGGCTGGTAAGATGTTGGGATAATGGAGCTAGAAGCCACATGCTGGAAGGTCACGAAGCACAGCAGTTGGGATCCCTGGCTCGAGACCGTGAGATTGAACAAGGAATTGCACGAGAACCATATAGTCATAGTCTCTGGCTTAGGATCCTTAATGCTGTGAGAGAGAGATATCCATTTAAAGAGTACTTAACAAGTTCTCCAGGAAAATGGACAACTGCAGAAGAAGGTATTCAATATCTACGGGAACTGGCCATGCTTGAACTCATCTTTAGTAATCCGGACTATTATGATATCTTAGACCCTGCGAGTCTCCCATGTACCAATCCAATGTGGAGAAAAGTAATTAAAGGTGCCCCTGCTCAATACATCAACTGCCTAATTTCAGCATTCCATCCAAAGTTAGATGAACCAGATGTAGAAACAATGTGTCAATGGATACAGAGCATAGTGGAAAATTTCGAAGATCTGTCTGATGTCCGACGTAAACCCATCCGCTCTAAGGGAAGAATGGAAGGAGATTATGAATATTCCAATTATGAGGATGACTACGAAGACAGAGATGACAGAGTTTCCCAAGACTACAGAGACACACAAGTAAAGCGATCTAGACCACGAGCTCGACCTCAATCTCGATCTTGGTCCAGATCTCGGTCAACAACTCCTCCCCCTACACACAGAAGGAAGGACCCTAAAGGCGAATCACGTAATCAGCTGTGGTCCTACCTGTGCAAACAGGGAGAGAACATGAAGAAATGGGATAGACAACCCACTTCCAAACTTCAGGCTAGAGTGAAAGAACTGAAGCAGAAGGAAGCCAATAAAAAACTTGTCTTTGTAGTTGATGCGAATTTTGTGGAAAAACAATTGCAATCTCCAAAACACAAGAAGGCTGAACTCCACTTCCTTGACAACAAGAAGGCCGCTGGTGGAACAAAAAAGATATCTGACACTGAATGCTCTGACAAGGACCAATAGAGGGGCCCTGCCTTCTGCCAGGAGAAGGAAAGGGACCAGAAGGATAATCGGGTTTACTGGGCTGTGTGGGTTCGATGGCCTGGCACATCGGATCCACAGAGATACCGGGCTTTGATAGATACCGGTGCCCAGTGTACACTAATGCCGTCTGAACATAAGACTATGGAGACTGTGTCTATTTCTGGAGTGACAGGAGGGTCGCAAGAGTTGTCAGTGGTAGAGGCCGAAGTAAACTTGACTGGAGACCAATGGGAAAAGTATCCCATTGTGACAGGGCCAGAAGCCCCCTGTATCCTTGGTATTGATTACCTGAGAAGAGGATACTTCAAGGACCCGAAGGGGTACCGATGGGCTTTCGGTGTAGCCACGGTGACTGAGGAAAAATCCAAGCAATTGTCTGCCCTGCCTGGTCTCTCAGAAGATCCTTCTGTTGTAGGATTCCTGCAAGTCGATGATCAACAAGTGCCAATAGCCACTTCAACAGTGCATAGGCGACAATACCGAACCAATCGAGATATTGTGATCCCTATTCATAAGATGATTAGGAAGTTGGAGAGTCAAGGGATAGTCAGTAAGACTCACTCACCCTTCAACAGCCCCATTTGGCCTGTACGTAAATCCGATGGCAAATGGAGATTGACAGTGGACTATCGTGGTTTGAATGAAGTCACACCGCCATTGAGTGCTGCTGTGCCAGACATGTTGGAGCTCCAATATGAGCTGGAGTCCAAAACAGCGAAGTGGTATGCTACCATTGACATAGCAAATGCCTTTTTCTCCATTCCCTTGGCAGAAGAGTGCAGGCCACAGTTTGCTTTCACGTGGAGGGGCGTGCAATACACCTGGAATCGACTGCCCCAGGGGTGGAAACACAGTCCCACCATCTGTCATGGGTTGATTCAGGTTGTACTGGAGAAGGGTGAGGCCCCAGAACACATACAATACATTGACGACATCATTGTATGGGGGAACACAGCAAAGGAAGTTTTCGACAAAGGAGAGAAGATTATCCAGATTCTCCTCAAAGCCGGTTTTACCATTAAGAAGAACAAGGTCAAGGGGCCTGCCAGAGAAATCCAGTTCTTAGGGGTGAAATGGCAAGATGGAAGGCGCCAGATTCCAACCGATGTCATCAATAAAATTGTAACAATGGCTCCACCGACAAACAAAAAGGAGACCCAAGCTTTTCTGGGAGCCATAGGCTTCTGGAAGATGCACATCCCAGAGTACAGTCAAATTGTGAACCCTCTTTATTTTGTGACCCGTAAAAAGAATGATTTCCAATGAAGTCCTGAACAACAGCAGGCTTTCAGGCAGATCAAACAAAAGATTACACATGCCGTGGCTCTTGGACCAGTTAGGATGGGGCCAGATGTAAAGAATGTACTTTACACTGCATGTGGAGATAACGGTCCCTCCTGGAGCCTCTGGCAAAAGGTGCCTGGTGAAACACGAGGGCGACCACTTGGCTTCTGGAGTCGAAGTTACAGAGGATCTGAAGCCAACTACACCCCTATGGAGAAGGAAATACTGGCGGCATATGAAGGCATACAAGCAGCTTCTGAAGTGATTGGCACTGAAGCACAGCTCTTCCTGGCACCCCGACTACCGGTGCTGAGTTGGATGTTCAAAGGGAAAGTGCCTCCTACGCATCATGCTAACAATGCCACATGGAGCAAGTGGATTGCTTTGATTACGCAACGTGTCCAAATTGGAAACTCGAATCACCCCGAAATTTTGGAAATCATAACTAATTGGCCCGAAGGTGGAAACTTCAGTCTGGCAGATGAAGAAGAAGAAGAACCAGTGAGTCGAGCTGAAGAAGCTCCGCCATATAATCAACTGCTGGATGAAGAGACGCGTTATGCTCTTTTCACTGACGGTTCTTACCGTATTATAGGAGGGAACCGAAAGTGGAAAGCAGCTGTTTGGAGTCCCACCCGACAAGTCGTGGAGGCCACTGAAGGTAAAGGCGAATCGAGTCAGTTTGCAGAACTCAGAGCCATCCAATTGGCCCTAGACATCGCAGAGAGAGAAGGATGGCCAAGGCTCTACCTCTATACCGACTCATGGATGATAGCCAATGCCCTATGGGGATGCCTAGAGCGATAGAAAAACATGAGTTGGAAGCGTAGAGGAAGACCTATATGGGCTGCTGATTTGTGGCAGGACATTGCTTCTAGAGTAAAGAAACTAAATGTGAAAGTCTGCCATGTAGATACCCATGTACCTAAGAGTCGAACCAACGAAGAACATCATAACAACAGACAAGTGGACAGAGCTGCACAAATTGAAGTGTCACAAATAAACCTGGACTGACAACATAAAGGAGAGTTGTTCCTAACCAGATGGGCCCATGATGCTTCAGGTCATCAGGGCCGAGATGCCACCTACCGATGGGCACAAGACGGAGGGGTGGATTTAACCATAGACACTATTTCCCAGGTTATCCATGACTGTGAAACCTGTGCTGCTATCAAGCAGGCAAGAAGATTGAAGCCCCTATGGTATGGTGAACGCTGGGACAAGTATAGATACGGAGAAGCATGGCAGGTCAATTATATCACGTTGCCACAGACCCGCCAGGGTAAGCGTTATGTGCTTACCATGGTGGAAGCAACGACTGGATGGTTGGAGACATATTCAGTGCCCCATGCAACGGCCCGAAATACCATTCTGGATCTTGAAAAGCAGGTCTTATGAAGACATGGCACTCCAGAGCGAATTGAGTCAGATAATGGGACTCATTTCAAGAATAATCTAGTAGCCACGTGGGCACGGGAGCATGGTATTGAATAGGTCTATCACATTCCATATCATACACCTGCTGCTGGAAAAATTGAAAAGTATAATGGACTGTTAAAAACAACTTTAAAAACACTATGTAAAGGAAAATTTAAGAACTGGGATAAGCACCTAGCCAAGGTCACCTGGTTGGTAAATACTAGAGACTCTATCAATCGAGCTGGCCCTGCCCAAGCAGAATCCCTCCACACTGTAGATGGAGACAAAGTTCCAGTGATTCACCTGAGAAGTATGTTGGGTAAAGCTGTTTGGGTTACCCCTACCTCGGGCGAGGACAAACCCATTCGTGGAGTTGTTTTTACTCAAGGGCCAGGGTACACCTGGTGGGTGATGAGGAAGGATGGAAAGATACAGTGTGTGCCTCAAAGAAATTTATCCTTGGGAAAAAACTAACTTTGTACTTTAAGTTGTTTTACAGGAGACCAGTCACCAAATGAGAGAGACCTGACCAAAGCTGATACCGGTATCTGACGATGAGACAGTGAACCAGTCCTAAACCTGAACTGTGATTGTAACCAAAGTGCCAAGGATCTGAACTGAACTACTGTTAATGATGAATGCCGATCTTCCACCACAAGACAACTACTCCAAAGGACTATATATATATATAAATATGTGTATATATGCGCAGGATATAAGCAAATACATGACATATAAGTGTTACGTAAAAATAGTATGGAATAAAGGGTGGAGAATGTAGTAGTTTTAAGACTAGGCCTTCCTTGGTGACCAGGTTGTAACCAAGGAACCAAGGCCATGTTCCCAGTATTCCATACGATTTTTTACTTAAGCAAGAGTGTAAATAAGAAGAGAAAGGAAACTCTCGTTCTCTTTCTTCCGGTGGACCGAAGGCGAAGGTAGCTTTGCTGTCGCTCTACCCGGGCGAGGGAGTGAGGCCTAGCGCATCTGGTTGGCCTTGAGAGGCAGAGAGTGCCGACGGTTGTGTGGTGCGGTTCGCTATCTCTGGAGGGAAGTATTTGCATTGTATCCCTTTTAATCCCTTTTTATTCCTTTTTCCTTTTCCCTTTCCCTTCCTTTTCTCCTTTGGGGGGTTCCCTGTATATAATTTTCTTTGTATATATATATATATATATATATATAAATCTTCCACTTAAAATTCAGTTCGGTTTGGGTTCTTTTGATTTTCTTTTCGTGATCTTTTCGGTCAATTACACGAAAGTGAGAGAGAGGGGGAAGGCTTTGTCCCTGAAGTCCGGGCACTTGGCTGGGAGCCAAGTCCAACCTGGGACATACATTTAGAAATTTTTTTCTTTTAATATATAATTTGATGTATTTCTTGATATCTTTTTATTTCTTTGCTTTCATTCCTCACTCTTCCCTTTTCCCAGCAGGAGCCTCTCTGGTTCCTAGGCCATGTCAGGGGTCATTAAAAAGCTGATTCGGAGAGGATTGCCTGGTTTAGATGTCCAAAGGCCACCTTCCTTCCCTTCCCTTCCCTTTCCTTTCCCTTTCCTTTTCCCTTTTCCTTTTCCTTTTCTCTTTCCCTTTTCCCTTTCCTTTCCCTTTCCTTTCCTTTCCTTTCCCTTTTCCCTTTTCCCTTTCCTTTCCCTTTTCCCTTTTCCTTTTCCCTTTCCCATGCCTACTCCTTTAGGGGTTCCTGTATTAATTTTCTTTGTATATATATATATATATATATATATAAATCTTCCACTTAAAATTCAGTTCGGTTTGGGTTCTTTTGATTTTCTTTTCGTGATCTTTTCGGTCAATTACACGAAAGTGAGAGAGAGGGGGAAGGCTTTGTCCCTGAAGTCCGGGCACTTGGCTGGGAGCCAAGTCCAACCTGGGACATACATTTAGAATTTTTTTTCTTTTAATATATAATTTGATGTATTTCTTGATATCTTTTTATTTCTTTGCTTTCAATCCTCACTCTTCCCTTTTCCCAACCAGGGCCTCTCTGGTTCCTGGGCCATGTCCAGGGGGTCATTAAAGCTGATTCCGGAGAGGATTGCCTGGTTTGCAGGGACAGTCCCAAAGGCCACCTTTCCCTTTCCCTTTCCCTTTCCCTTTCCCTTTCCCTTTCCCTTTCCCTCTCCCTTCCCTTTCCCTTTCCTTTCCCTTCCTTCCCTTTCCCTTCCTTTCCCTTTCCTCCCTTCCTTCCCTTTCCTTTCCCTTCCCTTTCCCCTCCCTTCCCTTCCCTTCTTCCCTTCCCTTTCCCTTTCCCTTTCCCTTCCTTTCCCTTTCCTTTCCCTTTTCCCTTTTCCCTTTCCTTTCCCTTTTCTCTTATCCCTTCCTTCCCTTTCCCTTCCCTTTCCCTTTCCTCTCCCTTCCCTTTCCTTTCCCTTTTCCCTTTCCCTCTCCCTTTCCCTTTCCCTTTCCCTTTCCCTTTCCCTTTCCCTTTCCCTTTCCCTTTCCCTTTCCCTTTCCCTTTTCCCTTTTCCCTTTTCCTTTCCTTTTCCCTTTTCCTTTTCTCTTATCCTTTCCCAGCTGGAAAGGGCTGGGAAGGCTCCAGAGGAGTCCCCGCCATGGCACAGTTGGTTTTCCATCAGGGACGGAAATCCGGCAGTTTTGCCAGAAGGAACATCGGGATTTATTCCCAGAATCGGGAAATAGTGACCAGAGGGAAGTGCAACCCATATTTACTCCGAGTTTCCCTAAATCCAGGTGTTTCCCAGGAGTGAAATGCTGAGTGCTGACCCACAGATTCCAGGGCCGGGGATTCTCCAGACCTGGTGTCTCAGTTTGACAAGATCAAAACTTAGAAATGAAGACACTTCAGGTGGAAGTGTGGGAAAGGAGAAGAAACAGCTTTTTATTCCCAAAAGCTGAACAAACAACAAACGGTGCCACCAAAACCTTTCCGAAGAAACCAAACCAAGTCCCGAATGCCCAGGTAGGGGGAGAACCCGGCGGCAAGGCAGGCAGGGGGCGGGGGAAAGGCAGGGCTGTGCCGGCAGCTCAGAGCTCTCACAGCCACGTGTGCTCGCAGCCAGCCTGGAAAGGGCCTTTGGTCCCCCAGGCAGTCCCAAAGCAGAACCCCTCGCTCCGAGATGGGTCGGTCTCTCCTTCGCTCGTCCTGCGTGAGGTGTCCGACGGGAAAACAAAACTTCCCAAAAGAGGCGGCTGAAAACTGGGCTCCGCTCCGTGCGGGGCCGGCCAAAGCCCCAGAGCCCTGAACAAAGGACTCCCCACCCTCCCCGCAGCCACCGCGGTGTCCCCAGAGCTGCCCTGTCCCCACTGCCGCTGCCCAGCGCCTGCGGCTCTGCCCCCACCCCATCCTGGGACACACGGATGGGGGGAATGGGGGGCGACATTGGGAAAACATTCCAGCAGCTCTTTGCAAACCTCTGACACCTGGTTCCCAGACATTCCCAAAGAAGGGGCTTCCCGCAGCCGTGGCCTCAGGCGAGGGACCGACCTTTGTATTGAACCAGCTCCTGGAGAGACACCTTCCCATCCCTGTCCCCATTCCCATTCCTGGGGTTCTTCATCCCTGTCCCCATTCCCATTCCTGGTGTCCCCATCCCTGTCCCCATTCCCATCCCTGTCCCCATTCCCATTCCTGGGGTTCCCATCCCTATCCCCATTCCCTGTTCCTGCTGTCCCTAGCCTGTTCCCAGTGTCCCCGTTCCTGTCCCCACTGTCCCTAGCCTGGTCCCCCATGTCCCTATTCTCATTTCTGGACCTGATGTCCCCATTCCCAGTCCCTAGTGACTCCAACCTGCTCCCAGTGTCCCCATCCCAGCCCCCTGTTCCCATTCCCATTCCTGAGGTTCCCATCCCTGTCCCCATTCCCATTCCTGGTTCCCAGAGAGGAATTGCCGGATGCCAGAGGAGGGAACCAGGATTTATTGCCCAAAGCAGCAGATTTTCACACCACAATTAAAGCCTCAGTAATAATTGTGCTCCTGGGTTTCACACATGGAAAAGCAGGAAGTTGATTCATCAGGAAGAGCCGCAGGGGGGCCGGGTTGGGTGGGAGCAGCGGGATGAGCTCTGCCAGCAGCTCCTGCCTTTCCGCAGGGAGAGGGAAGGGGCGGATCCAGCTGCATGATCACTTAGGCCGTGATTTCTGCCGGGATGAGAGCGGGGAAAGGAGTCCCCATGTCCCTGTTCCCATCCCAGGGGATGGATCCGGCTGGGGAGCCCATGGAGAGCAGCAACTGCTCCGAATTCCCTCCTGATCCTGCTCCATCCATCCCACCCCAATCCCACTCCAGAATCCAGCCCTGATCCCAACCCACAATTCCACCTGATCCCACTGTGCAATCCTGCCCTGAGCTGGAATCCTGTTCCAATCCCCCTCCATCCATTATGCCCCGATTCCCCTCTGGAATCCCAAGATCCATCCTGGCATCCCTGCAGGGAGGATCTGGATCCACCCACGCTGCTGGTACTCACTGGTGGGTGCGGGGTCGTATCCATTGCCCTCCCTCTTCCCTATGGAAAGAAAGCGGGATCAGCACCCGTGGCACAGGATCCCTGGAATGCTGCCGGGCGGATCCGGGCCCCTTCCCAACCCCCATCCCGTGAGTTACCGGCTTGGAGCTTCCAGACACCGACTGCGATGAGGCCGATGATGACGATGATGGCAGCGATGACGGACACAGCGACCAACACCAGGGTGGAATTCCAGATGGATTCCGGCTCTGGGAAAGGCGGGAGGGTGAGCAGGGGGAGGGTTACCCCCATCCTGCTGCCCCACACTCCCAAATTCCTCATTCCCACATGCCCAGTTGCCACATTGCCCGTTCCCAGGCTCACCCCAGGCGAAGATCCCGGGCTCCGGCATTCCAGCGTGCTCCACCCGGCACCGGTACTGCTCCCGCTCCTCCGGCAGCGCCTCGATCCTGGCCCAGCTGTGGAAGGTGCCGTCGCTGTTGGGAACGATCCCGCCCCACTCCGTCTCCTGATCCCGGATTTCATCCCCCTTCATCCAGTTGATCCCGATGATCCCGGGGTAGAATCCGTAGGCGTGGCAGGACAATGTCAGGATCCCGTGTTCCTCTTTCCCGGACACGTGGACATCAGGGGGCTCTGGAATGGCATAATGGTGGGATCCATCCATGGAATTCCCATAGGAATGGGATTGGGGTGAGATCCACACAGAGAATTCCCACTGGAATGGGATTGGGGTGAGATCCATCCACAGAATTCCCTTTGGAATATGACAACAGTGTGATCCATCCATGGAATTCCCATGGGAGTTGGATGACTCAGATTCATCCATGGAATTCCCACGGGAATGCTCATGCTCCTCAGTTCCAA